ATGTCAGGACTTAATGTGAAGGTTTTGGTTTTCAGCATTTCCTGTTTTATTCTTGTTTATGCCCCATGTTTGTTAGTTTTTTATTAACTCCCGGCCGCTGTGTTTTTGTTCTGGTTCTTGTTTAGGTTTGTTTAATAGTAAGGCTTTTGTTCCATACTCTCTGTTTTGTTTTCCTAGATCCGTCCTTGTGTATGTGTGTGTACCTAACTTATTGTGTTATTTTGTAGTGATCGGTTTTCATTTGTTTTTGTCAAGCTTTGTTTCCTGTTGAGTCTGATTAATCCCTAATGTGTTTCACCCGTTCGCTCCTTTCCTGCTCTTTTGCCTTTATCTAATGTGCTCAGCTCTGTTCAGTCCTTGTTGTGTCCTCATCGTTTATTGAGTGTCTCTGTTACCTGTGTGTTTCTCTGCCATTGGATATTTGGCAATTATAGCAGTTTGGATGTTTGTATTTTCTTTTTTGGATAATTACTGGCTACCAATATCTTCTGACTCTGTTTGGACTATTACCTACTTCCTTTGTTTGGACAAACGGTACAAGTAAGCTCTTACTGACTATTAGCATGTGTCCTACATTTGGGCCCTAAAATTCTGTTTCCCTGCCTTGGCGCTGATCAAATATATATGACCCCTTTTTCAACTGTTCTATGACAATGAAAGTTACATAACCATAAACATTTTTAAGTCATGTCAAACAGAAAAGCAAAAAAAAGTTCTTACTTTTAGAAAGTGAATAAAATTTAACTAAATTGAATCTGATACCTTTTTGGCTCGAGCCCGTCATTCCATATCTCCTGTGTACATGCTCACTGTGTTCATTCTCAGTTTGACCACTCTAGAAAAGGACAAAAAACCCAGACACCAGAAAGAAGAACTGACAGTGAGGGAACAGGCGTACATTCGGGAGATTTCTAACTATTAACTATTAACTAATAAGAAAGGGATTGCAAGGAAAATAAATCTGACTGAAAGCAAAATTTCACTATGCTTAATTTTAATTTCAACAGAACATTAATGAAATGTTTTTACCTCTGCACTGGCATGTCTGTGACGCCCCTGCTTCTTTTTGAAGGACCCCTCCTTAACTCTTCTGTTGAATTATTATGCAGCTTTGGAGACAGAACCCCTGACAGTGAATCACTCCCTACAAAAGTAAATGTACACAATGTGAGAAGAGGACATTATAATCAGAAGTTAGGGAATCATATTAATTTCAAAGACAAACAGCTATTTTTCTACTGAATGTACCCCTGATTGTGCCCTGTGTGGGATAAATGTCTGATGTCTATGAACATACTGCAAGGTTAGCCCTCACCAACATCTTTACCATCACTCTCCATGTCGTCATTGAAAAATAGGTTGTCGTCCGCTGAGACAAAACTGAAGATGGAGTCGTCGCTCTCTTCAGAAATGTAGCCAGAGGTCAGACAGGGGTCGGCCAGAGATCTAGAAGGACCACTGCTACTCTTGGACTTCTGGAAAGAGCGAATGTACCTCGCCAAACTCATACCTTTACCTTAAAGACAGAACACATTACATGGAAGTTAAGACTTGGCAGCAACTGAAAATTAATTACATATATCAACTGTTTAGTCTAGAAGATGTCAAAGAATTGTTAAATGTGCCCATCATAACTGCCTTTGAGTTACTTGTTCTGTCCAAAGCCCAAAGATTATAATTTTACAGCGTTATAAAAAAGAGACAAGCATCCACTCTTCCTCACTGTTATTGTGACGTAAACTGTATGTTCTGCCTCTTTCAGCCAGTAGGGGGCTGAGCCAGGCAGCGTCCAGACGGCCCAGCCTGAAGCCCCCAAGGCAGAGGGCGCTGTTGTTTATGTCCAGACCCAGACGGCCCAGCAGGAGAATGACTGTGGGTCCGTCGCCCTGCTTCACGCTCACAGCCAGAGCCCTGCGGACGTGCTGCTCGTGGGCACCTCGGCTGATCAGGAGCTCCACCAGTTCGAGAGGACCGCCTCTCTCACACACCTGAAAAAGACAGCACAGAGGCAATGATTGAGACTGAACTAATGATTATCCAAATTATTCATAATAATTATTCAAACAAATGAGTAGGGCTGGGTATTGAAACTGAATAAATTTTTGGTACAGTTTGAAACATCTCATTAGCATTGGGATATTTGTCTTATTAGTAAAGTATTGTTATCGGTACTGAAACTCAAGTACTGTATTTGGCACGGTATCAAACATTTTCTAACTATATGCCTAATATGTCTTATCAAAAGCATGTAAAACATATTATTCAAAATCACATTTTTAATATTAATTATAAAAAAATGAAACACAGAAACTCGGCATATCCTTTCATTGGAGGAGCAGAAACCAGGAAATGTTTAGAGTTTCTACTAAATAAATGACAAACAACCTAATTCTGCTGATTGACTGATTTTCCCATTCAGCATTTTTCTCAAATAGGAGTGTCTGTCCAAAAACTGTCCAAACAAAAGGTGTCTATAATCATGCTCTGTGTAGCTATAGCTTACTTAGGCACAGTGGTGTTTTGAGCTAAATGCTAACTTCGGCATGCTAACATGCTCACATCACAATGCGGCTGTTTTGCAGATAAAATGTTTACCATCTATGTTTAGCATGCAAGCAACACAGTAATGGACAAACTAAAATTTTGTTTACCTTGCCATTTATTACAATTCATCCTGAGGGAACATAAATTTATGTACCAAATTTCATGGTAATATGTCCAGTAGTGTCAGACATTTTTAGTCTGGACCAAAGTGGTGGACCATTCACTACTGCCATTCCTAGAGAGCCATACCATTAGCGTGAAAAAAAAAAAAATCCAAATTCCAGATCAAGATCAGATTTTTAGCTATTTCTGTTCTGAACTTTTCTGAGACAATGCTAAAAGAACAAAGACTAACAGGAGTGAAAACACAACTTCCCTTGGTTGGTAAAAGGCAATAAAAACATGACATTAACTACAAGACATTTTCTCTAATCCTGGCCTGTGAGGTTTTGTGACCTCTGACCTGGTAGATGAGAGATTCTGTTTTGGTTTTCCTGTTGATGTCTGCGCCCAGCTCGATCAGACACTCAGCTAATGTTGTGTCTCCGTCCTCACAGGCCTTTTCCAGCATGCTGTAGTGCAGCTTTGAGTCGCACCACATCTTAGAAAGAGCGAGACACACTGACTTTCGGAGCTGACAGTAGACAGAGAGGTAGAAGAGAAAGTTGAAGACTTGGTCACAAAATGAGTTTATTGAATTATTGGGAAGGCATTTCTAGCAAGGCATTTTCTAAGAACTTTCCAAGAAGTACAAGTACAAGTGGCTTACGTGCTTAATCTGAACAGTTATCAGGCCTGTCAGGTATTTTCTGAGTCTTTTTGTACTGTATGTTCCTGTGTGTGTACAGTATAGCCTGTGTTACAACATGACTGACTGCTGATACACAGTATGTGACTAAGACTGAAACTCTTTCCATTCAGTTACATCATTTTTAAAGTGATCAAACTGGAAAAGTCCAAAATCAGGGAATATGCTAGCTTTTTGTCTTTAATACTTTTTTATTTTATTTGTCTGGAACTGGAACTGCGAAATCCATTTTCAAGCACGCAAATGGCCTCTGATTTTAGTCTGATGCACAGGGAGAGACACAGAGAAAGACAAAGTGAAAACAGAGTAGGAAACTGTGGTTTGTGGTGTCAAACCGTCTAGCTCACCGGGTTGTTGCTCTGGTCAGGACTCTCGTCTCTGAGGTGTTGGAAGATCTGCCTGTCAAAGTCTTCCCTCTGCAGTTCAGCAGCTGCCGCGGAACAAGCGTCCATCATCCTCAAAGCCACCTGAAAACACTGCGGGATACACGTCCAGAGACAGATCATGAGTTTATAAGCACAAAACTATAATCAGTAACAGGAATCAAGTCAATTTTACTTACAGTATGCAGCCCAAAATCACTATATATAAATTTGCCCCGAAGTGCTTTACATCAGATAGCAGATTGGTAATAGTGGAACTACTACTGTACATGCAGAAAGTAGGGAGCAAATATAATAATAAATAAAGAAAATGTATTGGCTGGTTTTTAATTCTGAGATTGTGAAATTGTAAGATAAGAAAGTTTTAAAGCAGGGCAGGGACAATATACACATAATATGTATAATTTGTGTTTGATGGAATAAAAGTAATGCACATCTACATACCCTGTTTAAGATCATTTTATCAAAGCAAAACACTCAAGTCACCTTCAGGAGCATCTCAGAATCTTCTTTGTACTGGATAAGAGAGGCGACCACAACGGAGGCCAGAACAGGTACGATCATCCTCGACAGCTTCTTCCTGGATACGAGGTAGTTGAGCAGGGTAAGACCCCAGTAGTGTATCTCTGAATGAAGTTGGGAAGGTAGTGAAAGCACGATTAGTCTTTTTTAACATGTAGAGGTAACACTATGCTGTTCTGTTGTGAATTCCGTTTAAGACATGAGCTGCAAATCAATGTTATGAAAAAGTTTAGCAGAATTTTCCAATCCAATGCAATGACTTGACTAACAATTATCTAATTTGGGTTCATTCAAGCTACGGGCTATTAAGAGACAATAGTATACTGTACCTCGTTCCTGTGGGAACATCTGTAGTGTATGCAGCACGGTGTCGATCGCCCCCTGTTGGCACAGCAAGTCCACTGCTCCGGAGCAGTCAGCCAGAGCCGAGAGTACCTTCAGACCGCACTCTTGTATGATCGAGCTGCTGATGAACTGCACATAGACACAAACAGCACTGAATATCATGCTGGTTGAAGCTATTTATACTGTGTCTGCATCTGAATAACAAATGGTGGTAAAAATATTACAATGATATCCATATATCCGATATCCACATCTTATCATAATCTCATTAATAGAAATGGTGTGGACACAATATTGGGAACAGCTCTTAGTATAATGCGTGACCATAAGGTTACAACAGAAACTGAACATTAAAACTTTAACGATGGTAGAATTTATTGCAGGGTTGATGATTGGACTGCATAGTATTTACTGGAAGTACATCATACATTTATATCAGTTGTTATGGACTATACAGCTTTAAAAAACAACCTGAAGTTTAAGATTTAGGGTTCAGTCTGTCAAAGTGTCCTTTTGTCAACCAATCATATACTGTAAATCACTTGCTATCTTAAAATTGTTTTGATCCACCTACAGTAAATAACTGGCTTTAAATCATTAAAGAGATTACTGCGATGGAAAGACTAACTTTTCTACGATTGAGAAAAGAAAAGAAAGATATATCAAATAGATAATAGTTTTGTTGTAACAATGACAATGGCAGTTAAGACTGCCCATCTCACCTTACACTTTAATTATTCTTTAAACATAATGCTTTCCCATTCATGGATAGAAATTCACAAGTTGTATAAAGCTCCATACAGACTTGACATGAAGACTTAAAGACTTGGTTTCTTTTCTTGTTTTTGACATAAGAAAGATTGTCAAATGAAATAATGTTTTGCTGTCAATCTTTGTGTAATCTAATTTTGTAACAAAACTCTTTATATGTTAAAAAGGCAGTTAAAGTAGATGTTTTGGTTAATTACTGGCTTCACCGCTGGCATGTGATGCCTTTTTGGGGGAAAAACATGCATTCTTTCATACCAATAAGCCAAGTGGCAAATTATTTTTAGAAATTTAATTACATCCTTACAATGTTCTGGTTGCAGGACAACCTACTGTTTATTTTCTACAATGAATGGGTGAACTGTTGTTTAATTTACTACATAACTATATGTACTCGCTGAGTATTTGTACACTACTTCTCTTTTATATGCAAAATCCCATCAGGGTGTTTTTCAAGCTCTACCCTCCTGTACAAAAGCATAAAACTGTGAAGAGACTGAAAGACAATGGAGACTGTTAGAGAGATGTTTAGGGTTGGTCATACCCTGTTAAGAACCTCCAGGTAGAGGGTGTGAGCTCCTTCCACCACACACTGGTTTTTCAGGACCTTCAGCGACACATCGGCTATGTCAGGATCTCCAACCGAGACCCCGTGCTCCCTTAAACTCCTGTCTGGGAATTCACACACACAAAGGAAGTGAAGTGAAGACAAAAAGGCATACATACATGCACACACAGACAAAACCGCTCTGTTATCAATCACTAAACTAATTAGGAGCGTTACAAGTGCAGGGCTGGGAGTACAGGAAGAGCACAGTATAACTTTATTTTGTTGCTCCAGTGAACCAGGTTTGCATTGCCCTGCTGAACAAAGATAATACATGGCTGAAGGAATTATGATCTGAGTAAGCATCAGAAAATCAAGTGTATCTACCTCTGTTTGGGAGGACTGTCTTGCTGTATGTACATCAAATAGCCTACATAATGTACATGTACACTCCTGAGCTTCCTGAAAAGTAGCTAGTTATCAGAACCCACAACATGCAGAACTGTGGTTAGAGCTGTTCCCTTAAGAAGGCATTTTTAATGCCTATTATCACACCTACCTGAATAGATTTTTTGGCCACTTGGAGGTTGCAGATTTCCACAACAGACTGACAGACATAGAATCTAGCATACACTGTAATTGTATATGACTGAGGAGCACTCCTCACTCCTTTTAGCGCCGTTTCCAGAGTTTTCCACCAAATTCAGAGAAAATGATCAGTTTCTTTAGCTGCGAGATGTTCCACTTTTACTTGGTTCTGGACTAGTAGTGTACAGTGGGTTTATCAGAGCTTGTTTTCTCAAATTAGCTGCCCACTGTGGCTGAAAACGAGGTGAGACTGAACCAGACAAAACAGAGCATGCGCAGAAACAGCCACCTTGGATTACAAAAAAATATATAAGGCTGTCACCAAAATAACGTAAACTCCATCAATAAGAAATCTAACTGAAAAGAACAGCATTGAAAACAACATTTGATTCGTACCACATCTGGGCAGATCATAAACACACACAGAAAAAGCACTTACATGTTTTAAAAATTAAACAATAAAATACACTTGAGTGTACCTGGGCAGAGGAAGACCAGGCTGGCCTGCAGAGCCTCCAGCTGAACCTCTTGCTGGAAGTTGTGGACCTTCATGGCGTTGAGGATCTGACTCATGGCCATATTCAACTCATCTAGACTGGCTGTCCTACAGAGATAGAGAGACAGGTTTCACCCCCAAATCAATATTAATGCCATTATTTTATTTTTTTGTAGCCATTTTGAGAAAATATTGTTGATGGAAACTGTGTTTGTGCCCACCTTCCTTGGAAAAGCAGGTTGAGCAGCTTGCAGGCGCAGATGGAAACTTCAGCTGAGGCTGAATGTCTCTTCATCATCTCCACTAGGTTGACGTGGAGGCCACTGGACAGTAGCAGAGATCGCATTTTATCTGCAAAAGAAGCAAACATTTACTGTATGAGCCAACAAAACAGCATTTTTGAATAGTTGAACCTGTACAGATTATTAGACAAGTGGGGAATTACTTTTGTGTCTCTTTATGAAAGCTGCATTGAAACTTTGAATCAGAAACGTGTATGCTTCACTTTTAGCATTAACTTTCTAGTACTTTGTATTGTTTTATTTATGTTGACGGCATCATCAATTCTGCAACTTTGTCATATTGTAAAATAAGAAAGCCAATTTATTCTTTACTGTTGGAGACTCACTTTTTTGTGCGATGAGTGTGGCAATGGCACTAGTAGCAGCTTCAAACACACTGGGAGAGGAGGAGTGGAGCAGCATGGCCGCCATTAACTGTCTGTGAACAGGAGTCCTGAAAACAACCATGGTCATTAGATTCTCTCTCATCAGACATTTTTATATATTTCTTAAACATCCCTCATGACATGCATAGGAAGATGTGCACAACACTAAATTGATTTTGTTAGAGGTCACAGATACTTATTTATTTATTTTGAATTAATTTTCTTTGGCTTTTTAATTGTTTGCTAATAAAGTCTCCATATATGGCAATTTTTTTAAGCCACTAGATGGCGGGCCAGAACATAGTCAAAGGATAATTTAAAATGAATAGTCAGTGTACTTGGTTAGCTCAGTTGGTGAAGCATGGGACTCCCAATCTCGGGATTGTGTGTTCAATCCTGACATTAGGTGAATATCTTTTCTCTCCCTTTTCAACAAATTAATTATGACACAGTTTCACAATAAAGCCTGTGATGGAGTGTGTGAGTCCTGACGCTTGGTCCACATCCATCAACCTAAGGACAATTATTTTCATTTCCTGAGCATTTCCAAGCAGAGGAAATTCTTGCTTTTCTCATTCAGGGGAATCTAATCTCACATTTCCTGACAGGCATTTCAGAGATGTGTCAAGCAAGCCAAAGACTCTTTTGAAAGTCCTTCAGAACTTTTCAAAGTAAAAGCTCTCGATTTTACATGAAATAAAGCATTGCTGCAAAAAACTGTTGTCGACCACTGGTGTAGGATGTGTTGGTGGTATTTCATTGTTTCAGTGTGTACCTCTCATTCTTTTCCTCTTCTGAATGATTCTCTCCAGCTCCATGCAGTAACAGATTGTGAATGGCCCAGCTTGCTGCTTCCTGAAACATCAGAAGTGAGTCACACAAGTTAGAGACTTTTACTTATTATTCAGACTTCAGACAGTAAAATATTTGCCATAGCCCGGGGCTCATAAGAAGTTGGACTGGCCTGTACAGCTGGCTCAGCAGCGTGGAGCTCCAGTGCCATACAGCATGCCTCCATCCAGCCCAGGCCCATGTCCTCTACCTCCTCCCTACCCCGGTTCTCCTCCTCCTCTCCTTCCTCCAGACCCTGCTCAGCCACCGCTTTGTTCTTCACGATGGTTGCAGCTGACAGAAGGAGACAGTATGGTGGAATTACTGTACCATACATGGTGCAAGATTGATCTATTTGTTACAATACAGTGTGAGTGAAATTGAGAAAATAATCTAACCATCAGATTATATTAATTGGCAATATGAGGTCTTCTGTTTTAACCAACAGTTTTGTTTCAAATTTGAATATAACTTGGCAATAAGGTTACAGGACTCTAGTTGAAACAACGTGTAAAAGCCCTGAATACCCTCACTTCAATAAACAACTTACATTCAAAGACAGAGGGAATTTGAACTTTGGTGATGCCCAGTAGCATCAAAAACTATGTGAAAGATGTTATGATCACATAAAAATTTAACACATTGGTGTTGATTTAAGCCTGGACGAAAACTGGCTTTTTTAATACCACACAGAATGCAATATAATACATTTTCCATGTCACATTAGTCAAATAATGATGGTAAAACAATATGGATAACAGACAATATGGATAATTATTAATTTTGTATTTAATTGACATTCATATTACATTTTGTCATTACTTCCAAGCTGTGTGTAACAATCATTCCTAGCAATATAATTAATCAGTTAACATGACCTGGACCTAGATAAGTTGTAGAAAAATTAGACAGATTAATAATAAAAAAATATTAATTTATTTAAGCAAATCTAAATTGTTAACTGAAATTAAAACTGACACTGAGCTTCTTTGCTACTTTGTCTAGCAGTACCAACACCGTCTGCGACAGGTCTGATTGTGCTGACTGAAACTCCACAAGGATTTAACAGCCCCCAATCACTGTCTCATCCGTCTCCATTTCTCAACAGCCGGCAACCACATACAAACAACTTTTATAACTAATGTTACTGTGTACAGAAAACAAGGAAACGTATTCAAGACTATTTAATACCTTCTAAGGCCTTTTTTGGAGAGTTTAAATCAATACCTTTTAAGTATTTTCAACACCCACAGATACCCTGTCTATTGCATAACCTGGAAACAGCAATCACCTATTTACATGTTCATGTTTAACACCCTGGAAAAAACAAGCTGGTGGTACATGGCTGACGAATTAAGTAAATCAGCCAGTACAGTCACAATATGTAGAGATGTGCTGTTTTTGTACCCTGATATAATTTATCATCTCTTGTGTAACACTTCTATGTGTTGAAGTTCAAGTCAAGGCATTGTTCTTTTGTTTCCATCACTGACCCATTTATGTGGACACAAATAAAAATGAGTTAAATATAGTATGTGTGAGTGTGTGTCCTCACTGAGGTCAGCCAGGCAGGAAAGAGCAGCGGCTTGCAGCGTGGCGTTGTTGGGGAAAGTCCGACAGGCTCTCACTGCGACCCTCTGGACTCCGTTCAGTACCAGGATGTTGTAGTAGCTCTCTACAAAATTACACAAAACAAGCGCACTCTGGATTGAACAGATGCCTCTAATGACCTCTTTGAACTTAGTCTGTCAACTGGCAAACACATTAGCTCATCAGGATGAATAAAATCCAAACACTACTGTATTGATAGTGAGGATTCATTGATTTCACAAACAGCGTTATCATCACGGACTGAACAAATGAAGACGTACTCCAAAGTTATTCATTGACGGTGCATCTGAGAGTTTACAAGTGTTGTCTGCAAGGCATTTACAATGGTTCAAGTAAACAGAGCATGCACTTTAATTTCTAACATTTTGAAATGAGAAGCTGCTATATATGCAACTTGTTACACAAAAAGGTTAGAGTAAGACTAGCCACCAAATCATACTATCCTACCCAAACTGCTACCCAAAATGTTATTGTACTAATACCTAAGGATATATGTAACTTGGTAAAGGTGGTGGGAGAAACACTCAACTTATTCACAAATTAAACTAACTGAAAAACTCTGTTACTGGAGGAGGGACAGGAATATTTAAACGAGACTTAAATACTAATACATGGTGTTAATATCTGGCTCAGTCTGTGGAAAATGTGACCCCTGGGTCTGACCTGAAGTAAACCTCCTGAACAAGCAGCAGGCCGTCTCCTGCAACTCCTCCACCTCGGGGAAGGCGTCCATGGCGGAGATGATCACACTGTAGCACCGAGCACTTCCTGACATCAGCATCTCCACGTTACTGCCTGGAAGAGAAAAGCCGATGGACTCAAAATAAATGATGAGGTAAACTAAAAATATAAAGTGATCTTTCAGTATTACAATAAACAACATGATGGGAGACACATCAAAATATGTAATTTGAAGTCACAACTATACCATTTTAGATATCTAAACCAAAATACTGGATGTTAGCAAATTCACTATGGACAACACAAAGAAAGGAAAGACAAGCAGGTCAGAAATGTCCTTTACAAATAACAGAGAATGGTATCAACAGATAATCTGGAATCCCCCCATGGCCATGATAAATCGTACATCATTGAAAAACATAGAAAATGTCCAGCTCCATTTTTCATGCAGAAATCATCCAGCTAAATGGAATTTCAGTAAAGAGCAATGTCTCCGTTTGTTCTTAGTCATTTTACCTTTATCCTGCCTTTTCTGAAATACAGTTAATATGTAACCTACTATATTTGGCCAGTGTTGTTCAGAGAACATTTCAGATATGATGTCTGTTGTGTAACAAACTTTTAATACAGACGGAAAACCACACACACACACACACACACACACACACACACATAAAAGACTGTACTCCTAGAATGGTTAGTTTTTACCAGAATACATGAGCAACATTACAGTCACAAACATATTGATAAGTGATCAAGCTTCTTTAAACACAAGACAAGGAGCACTGTTCCTTTACAGAAAAAAGACTGGCCATAACATCAGCATGGCCAATACTTTTATACAGCGAATATGTATCAGCGAATATCATAGCCGAGATAACAAGATATTGCAATGCAAGAATGACAATGTAGACCACTGACAAGAGTATTTTACGTACATATTTTGATCTTTAATAACCAAAAGGCCAGAAAAATATAATCCTTGTAATACCAGGATTCAGGGCTTCCCTGCATTCTGATAATTGCATTTGCAGTTCCAAAAATTAAAAATAATTTTTCATGGAAATTTTTTAAGACTCCAACCCAATTATCTATTATCTATTATGGATCTGGATAGCAAACTACATAGAATCTCACTAAAGGAGTTGCTGTGTTCCTCACCATGAGGGAATTTCCATGAAGATTTGATTATTTTCAACAAACACCGCTCTCCTGTCCCACAAACAGCTGTTCTGACATTGTAACATAACATCACACATATTTACTGTCGTTTGTGGTTTAATCTGATTAACATCAAGACTGTTTGAAAAGCATTACAGTGACATCATGTTCTGGTGGTGAGGCTATAAATAGACTGTGTGAAATAAAGAAAGAAAAGGGTTGATGTTCAACATGCTTCCTTCATGATCAACATGTGGTGTAACAAATTAACCATTACTCTGAACTCTGAATGTATCCATTCACCCTCATCAGACTGAGGTTCAAACAAAACCTTTACTCATTAATTTTCCAATTCGCTTCTGCACTACGTTGAGAAATCAATCAACTGATCTGCAATCAATGTATGATATGATTCAGAAATCAGGTTTTAAGAGTGCTAACATATTAGACTCTTAAAACTTAGCATTAATCAATTTGTAAAGTTACTATTCCAGTTATTTTCTTTCCCTCTTAGACCTCACTTGGGTGCAAAGAGGACTTACCAGGACGAGCCAGAGGAAGCAGCACCTTCATGGCCTGTAGAAGCAGCTCAGGGCTGTCAGGGAATCTCTGTAGAGCCGCCAGAACCACAACATGATCCTGGTTCTCTATAAACTCCACGAGGTGGTCATCACTTACTGGAAACACAGAAACAAGAACAGCTACTGTAAACACGCATTAGCAAAATGTTAATGCAAAGCTAGTTAAAAGTAGCTAGTAGCTAGTATTATATACTAGAATAAAAGTCAGTCAAGTGTCACTGTTGATATCTCAAATATACTGCTGAAAGACAGGAGAGGCCATAGAATATTAAAACAAAAAATTATATACTGTAAATCTTTCATTAATAGCCCGGGCAAACCTGCAATAGGCTACTATGAAACAGTTTATATATTTGAAACAGAATATTATTTGTATAAAAATTATCATATAATATCAAATACACGTCATTCATTCAATGTAGCTCCGACCGACAGCTTATGCGCTTTTATTTTGAAGGCAGCAACGTAACAAAAACAACAACACGGTGCAGGATGAGAAAAGTGTGCAGAAGTTAGCAGAGCAATGGACTTCACATGACAAGATTCATAACTTGGATTCTTTTTCATGAAAAGCTGTTTTGATTCTTTTGATCGTTGGACCCTTACAGACTAAGGGAATGGAAAGGAATGGACATATTCAGACTTAACATGCACTTTAAAGGTAACGTGAGTCGGCACTTTTTTTTCCCTTTTCATCTCTTGTACCATGCGGGTTACACCAGTAAATCTGTAAGAAATAGACTTTGGGGCTTGTTTCCGTTAAATGAACTGAACGATTGAATTGTGGAGAATCTAACCGTGTCCATACTGACATATTGATCATACCTTTAAACATTAATATTAATAATTATTATATTAACAATCTAAGCAGCTAAAGCAGGTGACCCTGCAAGGTTTAAAAAGTTTGATACATCCAAAATAAAATAAAAATTAATATTATATATAAAAACCAGACCAGTATTTAATGGAGACCTGCGTTCATTTGTCAAAATGTGTTCCCACACCAGGCCAGTAAACGGGATAGGCTGCTGTTCGGGACTCGGCTATTAATTGAAGTTTTACGGTATTATATATATATAATTGCTGGTATATATGAGGTTAGATGCTGTGTCTGCTCACCCCTTTCCAGGAGGAACTGCAGCGCTCCACAGCCTTGGAGCTGCACCTCTTCACTGGTAGGAAACCTCTTCATCGCGTGCACCACCAGGCCAAACACATCCTCCTCCTCCTCCAGCACCAGCAAAGGAGTCATGTCTACATAACCGTGAGTTAAACAGTATAAAAACAAGTCCGACACCTTAATAAGGTTGAATTCTAACAAATTTGAATTGCAATGCTTATTTCACCACTTAATGATTGATCCTTCTATCCAACAAACTTGAACATGAATTTGAAAAAAAAGCTGAAATAATTATTATTTATTTTTAAAATACAATATATTCACCAACCACTTGTCAACTATGGATTAACTATGATGTTATTTTAAAAAATGCTCCTCAGAGTCAGTTGCTTAATTATTGTCATTGGCAGTGACTAATCAAGGCAGTTTGCAGACTGTGTGATGCATGTCTTAGTTTAACCAATGCCTCATCACACAAAGCATGATAAAATATAGTTTTTTGCACATGATCATAAATAAGCATAACCAAAGAGATTATTTTTGTTGTTCTAAGTATAAACTACAAAAGACAATGAGTTTTATTGACGCAGCCTTTGAAAGGGGAACCCCTATATACCACATATAGAAAATACTGTGACATACAGATTTATGGCCAGATAATTACATGAAGATAACAGTGTTTTCCATTGTTACTCTTCTTCCTTTCTCGACTGCTTTGTGATTCATTTACTTTTGAGATTCCTCTTGTATTGATTTGATGACATTAATTCATCATCACATAAACCTTTCTATGGCTTTGAGGTCCTCATCAAATATTCCATAATGTACAATCACCACCATTCACAAACTGTGAGCTGTTAAGTCACAGAAAAGGCGATTTTTCAATCTTCTAGCACTTATGCTGGCATCATACGTAGCAGGAGTTATGCCCTAATGTGTTGCGGCATATCTCCTGTGTAGTCATGTACCTGATCTAAGCAGAAGAGCCAGGGCTCTGAGTCCAACCATGGTCACACTGCACTCTGTTCTGTACTGAGATAGTACATTCAGGATCTGCCTGGAGAACAAAGTTAATTAATATACTGCATATTTTAAAATAGTTTTAATCCAGATGATGATTTACAGACCTTCGTCATTATCATTAACTAAAAACATGTTTCCTATAACCTCTTATTGTCTGAGCACCCTTGTGTACTTAGAACTGAAGAAAATCAAATAGCTTGGTGGAAGTGATTTGGAGAAAGACAGCAACACAAAAGAACAGAAAAAGTCACTTGGCAGGTGAAACTGACATTGCGTGATACCATATTACGAACACAACCGTTTACTTACAAGGAGCAGGAAGTGAAAACTGAAACTGACAGTGTAAACTGGACCTGAAACATTTGAGAGCCACAATCTATTAATATAAGTGAAAATGGTTGTAGATCAGGTAAAGTGGCCCCACTTTGTCCAAGAGTCCAGCTCAGATGTGGAATGAATTCGTTTACATAGACACATGTTGCTGGTATTATATTATGTCAATGTCAACTACATATATTTGCCCTCACACATATTCTAATAAATATTTTGTATCACCAAAGTCATTAAGATTCATCCTCTTAAGACCATGAATGTCTGTACAATATTTCATTTCACAAAATGGGACTCAGGCTGGCCAAGTAACCAAGGAATTCAGAGACTGCCCACATCTTTACAGAGACATGCTGCATCAACATCCCAGATCAAGCTCTTGACAGCAAGACTCCGGCAAGATGAGAGGAGGCAGTGTTTACATTGATGATGCTCTGTGCTCAAACACAGCCAAAGGGGATGGACACTGTTTCCCACATGTAAAACTTTTTATCTGCAGATGAAAACCATTTTGTCATCAATATATTGTTACTGCTGTTTATATTCTCCCAGTCACAAATTTAAAAAATGCACAGCAGAATTATTTCCTGGGTTTAAATGTGTATGTACATGTATGAAAATGTGAATTCACTCCTGTGCAACTATTAGATGATGAAGATGAAGAAGATACTTTTATTGACACATACATGTTGCGAAATTTGTTCTCTGCACTTTAACCCATCCCTCAAGGGAGCAGTAGCATAGTAGCAACTGGGACATCCAATAGAGTATGTTTTTACTTACTGGTGCACTCCCAGTAACTCCCAGTCCTTGGCTACCTGCAGAGGTCTGGTCAACTGGTCCAGTGTACTGGGGCATATTTCAATCAGCCGACACAGCAGTGACCAACCCACCTGCAGCAAGGAGATTACACCATCTGTCACACTTTGGCTGGAAGTGAATAGGCTAGTCAAACAGTTATAAGATGGTACACTATTTTGTTTCCCTTCGGCACATCGTTCTCTCTATTTAGGCAGACAAAGGAAAACTAAACTGCACAATCAAAGGTTTGTGAGGTGTCTGATGTCTTGCAGTACCTGCTGGACTCTTTGGCTGCTCATGTAGGATGACAACACCAGCATGAGGGGGGCATGGACATCTTTGTCTTCAAACAGTTCAGCTGCTGCATCATAGAGCAACAAATAAGAAGACATGATGTGACAAGGAAGAGACTGCGTTTTTAACACTTATTTATATTTTAAAGGCTTTTATAAAAGCTTGGAGAATAGTCTAGCAATAACAAGGGTTCAATTATAAGAGAGTGGCTGCCTTATGTTCATTTACAATAGATTTTTAAACTGGGCAATGCTCAATAACAGCAATGATGGAAACATACTGATAAGAACAGGCCTACATAAACAGATGAAATTAAGGTCAACTGAAGTTGAAGCAAAGGAGAAGTATGTAAGCAATACCACAATATGAAATACTCACTGGGCAATACTCCAAAACTCTCATATGTTCCTATCAATCCTCTAATTGTTTCAGCCCTAACTACAAGTCTGGAATTCAAGAGTTAAATTACATAAAAGTTCTTTAATATTATCAAAAAAGTATACTTGAGTACAAAAGGTACACATTATCATAAGTTAAGGTGTACCATTTTAAGAATCAAAACCAGATGTTGCTCTGTTTTTTTCTTCTTTTTTTTTTAGGTAGAATACTTTCAGAATCTAGCTGTCTCCAAGTTGCCTAGTCTAACTTTAATAAAGTGTTTTTGAGGTACTTGTACTTCACTTTGAGTATTTCAATTCTTCCATTCTCTGCAACATCTAAAAGAAAATATTGTAATTTTTTCTGCTTTATATTTATCTTACATCAATAGTTTCTGGTTACTTTTGAGAATAAGGTCTTATCTGTTGAATTGAAATCTTTTTTTTTCGAACATGCAAGAGAAAGTTTAAAAAAATAGGAGAAATTTTTTAATGAAATATGATGCACTGTTTAAATTAAAATACTGTACCATACTATAATATATTAAGATAATCAAATAAGTTCCACCAACTGCAACATTAAAAAAAATGCTTACATGTTAATGCATCAAAAATAACTCCCATAGTATAATAATAACACTAAGAGAAGTCATTTTTCTGCATAATGAGTACTTTTTTATATTTTAAGTAGCTACATTTGTGCTGATAATACTTCTGTATACGTGAGATTTTGAATGCATTTCTTTTAAAAAATATTTTAAGACTATTGTATTATTTATACTAAAGTAAAGGATCTGATTATTTTTCCCACCACTGCTCTTCAGTCAAACAAGGTCAAAGGAAATCGTGCCTGTTTATGAACGGCAGTATGATGCACATGCAGGAAAATCTGTTTCCTACCATCGTCGGTGTGCGCCAGGAAAAGCAGATCCTGGATTATTTGAATCAGTGTGCACAGTTGTCTGTCCTCTTGCGGGGTTTTCAGCCTAACCAGGAGTTTCTTCAACCTTTGTTCAAGTTCCTCTTTGTTAACCATGGTCTTTGAAATACTCGTTTCCAGATGACGACTTCACGTGCATTTAGGTCAATCTGTAAAGTTACAGTCTGTCAGAACCGTCGAAAGGGCTTCGAGCCGGCGGCCACTCTGCTGCAGCATTGCTGCGTGAGAAGAAGAAACGGATCAAAGTGCCACCCATGTTATTAGAGCACATTTCTAAACATTAGCTATGTTACATCATATTACACTAGCTACAGTACAGCTAACTGGCTGTCAAGACTGTGGAAGATGTCAGAGTCCCAGAGTTTCTGTTCCGACGTTGACGTCGCCGTCCTCGGCTAACTTTCCTCTGGCAGAGAAACGTGTTCCTCTTTGTGGAGTTTGACACTTTCTATTGTGTCTGTGGTGGGAAAGGAGAGCGCGTCCTCTTTCTGACAGGCGTGTTCCTCCTTTCCTACAGTCGCATCATATGACTCCGGCCAGAAAAACTCCCCGTTTGTTAAAGAGGAAACTGGAAACTCACACCGCGTAGCACCACATGGTGGAAGGGGACGGGGTCTGCCGCAGTCGCAGTCTGTCAAGTGCACGCATATTCTAACCTTTATGGTAAAAGTACTGAAACAGCACACAGCGAGCTGACAGCTGACAGGCAGGGTTAGTGACTTTATTCACTGTATGTAGTCATTTTCTCACTTTCCAAAGACATGTGTTGCAGTATAAAAGTTTTACCGCAATTTTACGCGACGCCGGCACCAAATATGCTACAATATAAGTTATTAAATTGCGTCGGACTTTAGCGCAACGTCCGGTTTTCATTAGGCGTTAAGGCAGCAGCTCTGTTCTCTCAGCTTTGTTTTACGACACTTGAGGGTCAAATACTGTTGCCAGTTCATAATTAGGTTTTGTAGACATTACATTAAGAATTTCGTAGATCTAAAACTCATATATAGACGGAATCAGATTTGTGCCAATTTAATCGGGCCTCTTAAATCTCAAACAAGAAAAATAATTTGAGAAAGAATGACACTAACTGAAGCAAAAAGAATTTAATCATCTGTAAAAGTAAAACATAACGTGCAAGCAAACTATTGCTCTCTATTACTCTATAGAAAATAGGCCTACGTCCTTCATTGTTTACAGTTCCCTCTGCCTTTCTCACTGATCACTGTTGCTCTCACTATCAGCAGTGCTGTCACTCAAACACTCACTAGCCAATGGGGATGCACCCCTGAAAAACCTTATTATCAACAAAGTAAAATAACAATAATTTGTTTGCTAGTTTTTTGCTTCAGTTAGTTTTATTGACTCTCTCAAATTTGTATTGTTGTTTTATTTTAAATAAGTTTTGTTCGACTAAATTGGCATTTCGGCTAACCTTTACCCCTTAACACTTAATAGGCCTACTGGACAAATCAAACTGTGATAGCAATCTAATGAAGTTAATTTGTCAGCCGACATTCATTTAAAACCTTTATTTTAGGATAGCATGTAAGAATGGTAATTACGATACATCAACAAATTGATCAAGAACACCATATTTCCCTCTTAGTAATATTGAGAGATTAATAAAGGAGACCTTGTTAGTTCTACTGCAATAAAATAATGACTAGAAGTTCATAAAATATAAATAATTTATCACCATTGATGAACCCCACAAAGAATATGATATCGTTTTTAAACAGTACTTTGCCGTAGAAATGATTAAAATGTCTGGCAGTGTCCTCTTTAGCTGTGCAGGTTCTCAGAAAGGACGGCTCACTGGATCGCAGTTCTTCTATCATTAATCCGTAGTCGTCTTTTTAGTTCTGCGTATATAATAGTGTAACTACGGTATTTACACTGTCTATTACATTCTTTGGCACCTCATTCGGTAATAATAGTAATATTACCATGTGTCCAACTTAGTAACTGAGACACATTTAGATTTTTTTTTTTAAATCATTATTTGCTGTTGCTTAATCTTATTTATGCAAACTTCCATGTTGGGTAAAATGCAAACACAACTAAAGAACTTTCATTTGCATATGACAAATTAACCAAATAAAAGAAGGCTCGTCCGATCTCCTGATTAAATGTTATAAAAGAGGGGAATTGCCCTTAACTTCCTAAATAAAATCAAAATGCATCAGTCATTGTTTAGTTTTCAAATGAGAATAAGGAACAGCTGCCTAATATCTTGGGATAGTTTGTTTAATATCTGTGTCCAGCAATGTAAATTCCTGCCGTTTTACAAGGCTTACAAAGTAAACACAGACAGTTAATCTATTCATTATGGGCGTGTTCCTTTTTTCTTGTGAAAATATCATGTGATCGGGGTAATTCAGACAAACATCCCGTATTATATGATCTGGAAACATCAGACAGACAAACTTCCGTCTGTTGAAGAGGACACCGACTAAAGCACTGCTCCAGAATAAGCTTTTCAGGGGTATAGTTTGTGTTATTTTGCACAGACGACATCTGTGTTAAAACAGGGTTTTTGTGTGATGTTAACGTTCCTATTTCATCTGCCTGTGAGGGATTTTTGATGACTGAACATGAATACTAGGCTAGATGAGCTTGAATTACTTTTTCTAACTTTAATGTTCTGCATGCCGTTTATTACATCATTTTGACTCTATGTCGATAAATAAAGCATTACCTTGCTACTGCTCCAATACATTCTCACATTTTAGAGTTTGCTTTTGAGATAGTCTCACCACCGCCCCAAACTGCTGTGGGCAATAATGTGAACCAATCATATCTTGTCTACATAGGCATTCAGCAGTTATTAGTAGTTTCTGTGTGCCAAATTGATTGATACGACCCACTCCATATCTGAGGTTTATTTCAATATAGGCCTATATATCATTACTGATAGGCGGGGATTCACTAAATTGCTAAAACAGATATTTTGCGCTGCGTTCTAGTGAACATGTCAGTTTGTTTCTAAAATAAACAAGTAATAGTTTGAATGCTCGAAAGAGATATTTTTCCAAAAACTTGGTACATTATTTGCGTGCGGATAACACTTTTTTTAATACGCCAGGTTGTTATAATTACATGTTGTTTACATTAAAAGTCCTGGAATAACTTTTTCTTTGCTAAAGTAATGCTGCGTTCCCTGTCACAGTTGGAGGTCGGATTTCTCCAGTGGAAATTTCCAACGCGAAACGTGAACACTGTACACACACGTTGAACCCATAGGTTGAACCCTCCGCAGTGCCCTTGCTGTATATGAAAAAGATAGCCATTTTAATTAAAAGGAGTGACATAAATATACTTATTTACTGTGTTCCCGTCGAGCTACATCGGTTGGTAATGTGCCAAAATCAGTAAATGTATATTCCCTACCGTTTTCACATTTTTAACGTTTTTCTGAATAACTAAGATGCATTTAAGAGATTGTTTACCGTATCCAGCTACCCAATCCAGGCGACATATGTTGACAACAATTTAGCTGAACCCGAGTTCACCCGAGTGGCGTTTTCATACAGTGGCGACTTTCTCGAGTTGGAGGTCGCAAACTTCCGAGTTGCCTTAAACGCAGCATCACTTTCCAGCAAGGCAGTCAGGTGACGTCACGTAGACATGGCCGCACGCAGAGCAGAGCTGTTGGTAAACAATCAGATGAACTCGGTTTGAAGCCAGTAAAGTGCACCGTTCCGGAAAATTCCTCACATGACATGACCCTGAAATCTGCCGTACTAAAGGTCAACAGCGGGGGCGTATCAAGAAACGTTTTCGTTAGCAATTATAAATTAGCTGTTAAAATCTGGACGTGTTGGCTTCTTCCCTGTTCGAGCTGCTCCTCAAAACATACGTAGGTCGGAGATTAATGTGATGCCTGGTTTTGCAGCGTTAATCTCCTTTTTTTTTTTCTTCTCAACTCTGCTAACATTACGTTTTGAGGGAGTTTTATGCGCAATGACAAATGGCACATCTTTTTTATTAAAAGAGAACTGCTACAAGGAGCTGCTATTATTAAACTAACCTCTGGTGAGCTTAATTTCTGGTTTCCCTTATGTCCAGCAGCCACGATGAGTACAGCTTGAAGTACATGAGCAACCTTATGGGCAGCAGGAGGCAGAAATCAGTGGATGGCGGCGAGCAGAGTCTCATTGTGCCTCCATCTGGGGACTCTGGTGGGGATCTCCTGGACAAAGATGCCTCCACATCGGGGTTCGTCTATATGTTGGCGTTTTTCTCTGCCCTGGGAGGATTTCTCTTTGGGTATGACACTGGGGTGGTCTCCGGGGCTATGCTGCTCCTGAAGAAGGAGATGAACCTGAACAATCTGTGGCAGGAGCTGCTTGTGTCCAGTACTGTTGGGGCTGCAGCGCTCTCTGCCCTGAGCGGAGGCTTCTTGAATGGGTGGCTGGGGCGCAGGATTTGCATCATTTTCTCCAGTTTCATCTTCAGCGTCGGAGGCATCATCATGGGTTTTGCACCGGACAAGGTGTTGCTTCTTGTGGGCAGAATCACAGTTGGTTTGGGAATAGGTGAGTTGTTGAAAAGGGGTAATTTTAATACATATAGGTTTTGTCTATCTAAGAGACGTGATAGTTTTATAGCATAAATCATCATCAGCTGTTTGGTCAGATACTTGAACATGTTTACATATTCTTTGATCAAATATTTCCTTTTGTTTATGGTTTTTAACACTGGTCCACAGAGCAGTTCTGCTTGTTTTGTTAAAGGAAAAAAGAGTAAAAAGAATAAGGTATCACAAAAGTATTGTTACACATGTTTGCTCAGGAATTCAGACCCACAGATATGTCGAGATTTTAACCTGCATGTAAGTTGTTTAAGATCTGATAGTCCGCTCCAATGCAACCTCTCACCATATCCCACCAGACCTGTTTTTCCAATACTACCATCTTGTATTTGCTTGGTTCAAGAATAGGGCTGTGGATCTAGGAGACAGTTCAGAAGTTATTGTGCCAAGATTTTGGGACAAAGGGTACAGAAATGTTTGGGCCATTCAAAATGAAATCCCTTCTTTTTTTCCTCCCATCAGGCATTGCCTCTATGACAGTACCTGTATACCTCGCAGAAGTTTCCCCTCCTCATCAGAGAGGTCTGCTGGTCACTATCAACTCCCTCTTCATCACTGGTGGCCAGTTTATTGCCAGTGTGGTCGACGGAGCTTTCAGCTACCTGAGCCATGATGGCTGGAGGTATGTGCTAGTTCTACACTACACCTATCTTGTCAGTAACTTTCCATGTCATGGGATCACTTTAGTTTTGTTTACCTTACAGTTTCTCTTTCTCTGTCTTATTTGAAGCCAACAGAGGATGTTACTCAACCACTCAGTGAACACATTGCAGCATTTAGCTGTGAAAGATCTCCATAAATGCTTTGTCTTTATAATGTCATACAATCTTAGCAGAACAGCAGCTTCGATCCTTCGTCTGTGTCTATGCAGGATGTGTTGAGGCACGGGATTGAATGTAGGTCACCTGCATTTAGGCCTCAGAACCCAGCAGACATTGACTAAAGTTATGCACATAAGACAGGAGAAAATGGACTTGAT